GGTGCAAGCCTGTGAGCCCAGCCCTCCCGAGGGAGCAGGACCTAGGAGGTTCCAGGGTTCAAGGTCATCTTTAGCTGCGCAGTGGGTCCCAAGTCTGGGCTACCAGAGACCCTCCCTGTCTTAAAACACAGCATCAGCCCGTCGGCGGTGGTGGCGCACGCCTTGAATACCCAGCACTGGGGGGGCAGAGAGAGGCAGGAGGATCTCTGTAAGTTTGAGACCAACCTGGTGTACAAGAGCTACTTCCAGGATAGGCTCTACCCTATTTGGAAAAACCAGATAGATAGATACATAGATACATAGATACATAGATAGATAGATGAAACACAGACCCACATACTCTCTCGGGGATGGGGGAGAACACTTTGGTACAGCTTTTAATCCCAGCACTCTGGAGCCAGAGGCAGGTGGATCTATATGAGTTCTAGGCCAGGCAGGACTACACAGAGAGACCCTATCCCCCCCACACACACACACACACACTCGAGGGAAATGAAATAATTCAGCCATTCAGCCAGACCATCAAGCCTGATGACCTGAGTTCGAGCCCAGGATCACATGGCAAAAGGAGATTTGTGCTCCCACCACACAAGATAAATAAATGTTCGATCGTTTGTTTTTTAAGAATTCCAGAGCTGGAGAGGTGGCTCAGCAGTTAAGAGCATTAGTTGCTCTTGTAGAGAGGATTAGAGTTTGTTTCTCACCACCCTATTTGGGGACTCATCATCTGTAACTATAATTCCAGAGGATCGAATACCCTCGTCTGGCTACCTCAGGGCATGCACAGTGTGCACAGACATAGGTGCAGGCAAAAACACTCATACATATAAAATAAAAATAAGCCAGGGGGTGCTTGCTGGTGCATGCCTTTGAACTATCACTTAGGCCAGCCTGGTCTACAGATCTAATTCCTGGGCAGCCAGTGCTTCACAGAGAAACCGTGTCTCAAAAAAACAAAAGAATAGCAATAGATGTTTTTAAACCTGGCATGGTAACTCACACCTTTAATCCTAGTACTCAGGAGTCACAGGCACACAGATCTCTGATCTGTGAGTTTATACCAGGTCCAGAGCAGCCAGAACTGCATATAGAAACTTTGTCTCAAAAAATAATAATAATGATAAATATTTCTTTCTTTGCTTCTTTCTAAAGGAATTTCAGGGACTGGAGAGATGGCTTAGTGGTTAAGAGCCCTTCCTGTTCTTCCAGAGGACCCTGGTTTAGTTCCCAGCACCCACATGGCAACTTCCAACTGTCTGTAACTCCAGTTCCAGAGGATCTAACACACTCACACAGATATACACATGTGCTATAAAAATAAATCTTGAGCCGGGCTTTGGTGGTGCACGCCTTTAATCCCAGCACTGGGGAGGCAGAGGCAGGCAGATCTCTGTAAGCTCAAGGCCAGCCTGGTCACCAGAGTAAGTGCCAGGATAGGCTCCAAAGCTACACAGAGAAACCTTGTCTTGAAAAACCAAAAAAAAAACAGAGCTAGTTCCAGGACAGCCTCCAAAGCCACTGAGAAACCCTGTCTCGAAAAAATTAAATAAATAAATAAATTAATAAAAATAAATCTTTGAAAAAAGGAATTCCAAGCTGGGCGGTGGTGGCGCACGCCTTTAACCACAGCACTCGGGAGGCAGAGGCAGGGGGGGGCC